TTCCTCCCCTCACGCTCTTCCACTCCTTGTTCATCCTCCCCCTTCCTCCTCCCGCCACCTCCTCGGTCTCCTGATCTTCGCGCTCCACGCGAGGGGCCTCCCTTTCGCTCACTCTCGCTTGCTCTTTTCATCAGGAAAGTACTTGACCGAGTACTAAGACCATGTCGAAGACCAAATAGTATGTCGCAAGACGGAGAACTCGCCTTCCGGGCTATTCCCGAAGTCGCGTCGACGATCGACGCCGGTCCTGTTGCCGTAACGCCGCCAGAGGGGATTGGCGCCGTCGTTGGATAGACGATGGTTTCGCGCACACACACATATATGTACACACATACACACGCATACACACCCACACGCATGCAGTATTAAATATTTTGACAAAATTTCACCGGTATCGATACATTGAACCGCGTGGCTTCCGCAACAAAACAGTAGAACGAATTCAAATCGCACATGAATTCTCTACGATAATGGCGTTCTTGTCACACAGGGGATTATGCAATCGTCAGCAAAAACTTGTTTGCCACGTTCCCGGTACGCGTGTTTGCTTGAGTTTTGTGAAAAAGACATTTCGAACGCGATATTATTGTTATACTTTAGCTCTTTAGCAACGAAATAAAATTAAGCATTATATGCAAAAACTTACCCCAGAGTCAATCCCTTGAGTATTTGGTGTTGTAGCTCGCTGTTGCAGATTGTGAAAAGCCTAAAAAGAAATGTAACGTTATAAATAATCTATCTTTACATTGGAGAAATATCGCAAGCATATCCTTAAACCATATTTTTATCGTGCTCCAATTTTAAAATAATATTCTTATAAATATTAACAGATTCCATTGCTTGTGTAACATGTATTAATCTTTCTGGAGTTTTCAAATAATTCTAACAAAACAGATTATACGAAATTCTATCTATTATATTGTAAATTTGTCAAACAAAAAACAAAAATAAAAGATGGATTTATATATTGAGTGCAACACTTGAACTGTTCATTCATTCACATGCAAACTTTCATAAGCAATTTATATACTGTTAGCATGTAATCATATTACAATTTATATCAAATATCCTCCATCAACATTATCAGATTTCAAACAAATATTCATCCCTTGTTATTGGTTTAATTGTTAAGTCGAATTTATTTGCAAAAACAATCTATGTCAGAATTCTTATTCTCTCTAAAAAAAAAGCTCTATTTTCCACAAAGATTTGCACGTGAATACTATACATAGATCTTAAAAATATTTATATTACAATAATAATTCTTGTGACATAAATAAATAGATAATTATTCCTGATATACTTCAATGACGTTAAAGATTATTAATAACTGGTAATTGTTTTATTATATATTCACCTGAGATTGGCTGGTGGCCTGTGGTTGTGGTGATGCAGCAGGTGGTGGAGCTGGAGACTGAGACAAAGCACGCTGCGGTGATTGACCCGATGGAGTGACCTGATTACTTGGCGGTGGAGGTGGATTCGGTGGACCACCTTGATTCCACCCCCTTTGTTCTGTGTATAAGCTTGAGGGATGATTGGTTTGCGTCGTATAAGAGTTTAGCTAGAAAGATAGAAAAAACATCTCGTAAAAACATCTGGTGACTTTGATTTTCTCTAATATTATTACACGAGTGTAAGATTAAAGTCAGCTATTAAAGATAAATCTGTTTACCTGATGATGACTATAAGGTGCGTGAGGTCTCGTAGGAGAAGAATACCGTTGGGTATATTGTTGATATTGCATGGGAGTTGGAGAACTTTGTCCTCCTGGCCCTGTGTGTAATCTCGGCGAACCCTGATATATGGAAAATATGGAAAACATTAGAATTGTACATGGATTTTGATCTTCAATAAAGCCTAATATTGACAAGAGACCACAGCTATAAAGACTCGTAACGATAAAGACATCTACTACAATGTTACGCTTGATTATGAAGCCTGTTAACTTACCGTTTGTGGAGGTCGCTGGCTAGGTTGTGGATAAACAGGAGGTACAACCGGTGGCCTTTGAATAGGCCACGGCTGTTGATACTCGGGTCCCATACCGGGATAATTGCCATGAAACCGATGCACCGGTGTAGACGCCTGCAGCAGCTGATTCAGCGTAGGTGTCGGACCAGTAGTCTGGGATATACTCTGTCCAGATAGAAACCTCGGCTGGCCAGAGAAGTTGCCAGGATTGGCGCCGACGTACGCTAGACGCGATTCCGTGATCTTGGATGTGGAGTAGTGTTCCTCCATCTCGGCGGTTCGGTGCACCCGCTCGCTCTCATGCATCAAGTGTTTACCATGGTAATCCAGCTGCTTGCCGGGAAAGTCCGCATGCTTGGCCACGTACTCCGGTAACTGTTTGCCGGGCGGATAATCGGCGAGCGGTTTGCCCGCGGCGAACTCGCCGGATTTGTTGTTGCTGTACTCGTCTGAGTAGTCGCGTATCACGTTTGGCGCGAACGGATGGCCCGGGTGGCCGGGATGGCCGGGCGCGTCATGCGCCTCTTGCTTGCCGACGGGCTCCTGGGGCGCCTGGCCGGCCTCGCGCGGCGATTTTACCTCACCGGCAGCAGTGTGTCCGCCAATGTCCTCGCGGTATTGACTCATCTCGTAGCCCGTCGTGTCCCCGCCGCGATTCACATATTTAAGCAGCTGGGCCGCGCCCCGGGACACTTTATCGTCCGGCTCAGGATCCAGCTGCTGCTTCGCACTAGCACTCGCACTATTCCCACCGACTTGCGTACGCTTCTGTGCGCATTTCACGGACTCGTTCAGCTTCACATCGTTTTGTTGGCTCTCGGCTTGCGTCGCAGCCATGTTCTTCTCTCCTCACGGAGCCATCGTCGTTTTCGTAAACTGGCCAATCGCGGGACCTCGTGCGCGCCTCGCTAAGGGGCCAAGTACTACGTACTCGAAATCGAAATACCGATTAGTCGAACGGCTTGCGTCGCGGCTAACACCTTCCGGCACATCCTCGATCGGGTGTGCGTGGACTAAGCGGCGCGCTAGGAAAAATCACTTCCTGGCGTTTTCAAAGTAGAAGGAACCAAAAAAAACTCATATGCGAACGTCAAAAGCAGCGTCGCATGTATTACGCCATCTTGCGACCATAGAACACACTGAGACCGCCTTCTATAGATGCCGTTTCCAATGCTTTTTTTCGTTCCCTTAAGCTCTGTTTGTACTTATATTTAAACAATGCAAGTATGTTCTATTTTGTTCTCCCTAGATGCATAAATCAGCATTATTCATAAAAATACATATAATTCATCACTTTTTTTTTTATTTTTTGCAAGCAAATGCAATACTTAATTATATAATTAATTATATAAAAATAAGAAATTGTTGCGTTATATCCAATAGATTTAACGTCAATAAAGAATTGTCGCAATAATACTTACAGTTATTTATTCATTGATCTAAAGTGATTTAACGCAATATTTAAATAAATTTGTTTATATACGTAGTCTATTTTTAAAATAAAACAGATGAATATAGACAAATATATAAAGATGAGAGAAATTGAATGCAACTAGAACGAACAGACCTAATTTATCCGTGTGTTTACATCGTGAAGTTATCGCGAGTTATCGACAAGACAACCGCGGATAGCGGCCATTTGCATTCGCGGGAGGGCTCATCGTCTGAATGTAGAACGAATTTTTCAGTTGTGAAACGCATCTTAGCGTATGTGATTGATTAGTGATCCTGATCGTTTGCAAAATGGCTCGGCTGAGCAACGACGTCTTGAGGATTGTATGTGCAAATACAAGTCAGGAGAATGAGAAGAGGCTGCATGAGGCGCGAATTAAGAATCAGGTATTGTGCCATAAGGCGCTATTTTACCTGTACTATCCAACTGAGGACCGTTACCTGTGTTCCGCAGAATCCTGTCCTTTCTATTTTGTTTTTACTATTTTATTGTTTTTATCTAACATTGCATTTATTAATATTATTAACATGTTTTTTAGGGAAAGAATCGAGCTAAACAAGACTTGAACAAATTCTTTAGCAAACTCAATCAGACTGTGGAAACAAACTCAGGAAAAGCTTCAGATAAGTCGAGCCCATCATGTTACAACAAGAATGTAAGTATTCTTTTTGATCTTCATCAAATAATGACATATAAAATAACATTGCATTTAAATATATTTTATGTGTTTTATATAAGGTTACAAATTGCTGGTATGGTCCAATCTTGAGATTTCCACCTGGATCCTGGTGGGGTATACGCATGGATTGCTCCAGAGATCGCGTGCATGATCCCTTTGATGTTGATATACATGAAGGACCATTTGGAGTTGTCTCTGTTTGCACCTCGCACACTAACATGAATGAAGATGTGGATTTTGGCGATTATCTTACGCTAACTGGCAAGATATATTGCGAGGATCAATCCAGCGTTGATCCATTTATTCACAATTACAAAAATCAAATACCATTGAGATTAATTAGAAGTTACAATCTGCAAAATGAAATAGCGCCTAACACAGGATACAGATACGATGGACTCTACGTAATCATAGCCTGTTGGATAGGTGAAGCTTTGGATGGCACCAAATATAATAAGTTTGCCCTAATGCGTCTAGCTGATCAGGAGCCGCCAAGCTGGAACAGCAAAACCTCGGAAGATTCATCTGCGCGACGTGTTCCATTGAACAAATTGAACTGTCCGAATACGTACGACTTGAGAAAGTCTTCGTACACCAGCGGAATTTGTGAGAAGCGGAAACTCAGTCACAGTGATAATCGTGAAGATATGTCAGTTGTGAAAAGTGTACTGCCAATTGACGTCAGCAGGAAGTCTGTACCTGAAAGTTCCATTGTCACACGTCATGTCTTCAAAAAAACGCCAAATAACGTGGAATGTACGACGTCAACTTCTGTATCCGATCGAAAGACGTTAACGTGCCTTGGTGCGTCCACAACTAAAACTCACAGTACAAACATTTCGATACGTATGGGCCTGTACGAGTCGTCGCATAACACTCAAGATGCGAAGAAGAATGTCTCCACGATGTTGCACAAACCGTCCAAGCCGATCGACATCGCTGTCCGCTCGGCACTGGACATAGAGGGTGTTCGTTCAACACCAAAAGAGGACAGCAAACCTGTCGGGAAGATAGATACGGACAGGGCGCGAATTAATTCTTGGCCAGGTGAAAATGTATCATACAATGGTTACATTGCGACTGACAACACGAACGAAATCACTTGTCCATTGAGTAAACGTAGAAGAAATGTCTATTCGCAGGTCGCACTCTCATCGGAACATTCGCATTCCGTATCTTCGTCGCTAAACGGCCTCGATAATGACACAGATATTATTGAGCATGAAGAGCAGCTTCAAAATACCGAGCAATCTTTGAACGCACAGAAATTAAATCTTAATGGTGAACCAGAAGTACAGAAATTAAATGCCGAAGAACACCATGAAACGAAGAATTCAATTGTGACGCAAGGAAAAATCACTCAGAGCCAAGATGCTTCGGAGATATCGAGCGAACCATTCTGTGCGCAAAACATAAAATCCTTGGACTCTCTAACGCCGGACAAAATCTTGAATCTGATTAACAAAGAGAAGCATCATCCTCTGTCGAAATTACTGATTGGCAATGTGATAGGATTGACGACCGAAGAATATGCAATGATGAATGCGACGCAAGCAACAACGCCAGATTCGAAGAACGAAACGCCTACGTCGCCAAAGGTGAATCTGAAGAAGAGACGCAAAGGGGAAGACAACGTGAAGGAGAATGTCGCGTGCTTGGACAACAGAAGACACTGTAGATATTCTAAATCTAAGAGTATATCGTGGAAAGTGAAGAAACAGCTGGACGCGGGAAAACTCGATAAAGTGCTGCCTGATCGGCAATCCTGCAACGATGCAGATGACAAGTGCAATAATAATGCGAGAAAGAACAATCGAAGTGGCGTGTCTAGCGAGAACACCGAGTATTTATCGCCGTTACGTGTACAAACCTCGCTTCAAGCTATTGTGCAACATACTCGTAGTTCGTATGACATAAAAACACGTCTGAGGTCTGACAGGAGCGCGGTATTGGCGAAGCAGGAGTTTTCTAATTCGTCGATCAAGAAGAACAGATACAAGAAGCAAGATAGAGAGGTCGCCAATTTGTCAATAGACGCTAATTTCGGTCCCGTAACACGCGGGCCTCGAAACAGGAGGTTACGATGCCGAAACAGCGCGTTCACGAACAAGAGATACTACAATACATTCAATGCTGTATTATATTCGCCTAGCAAGCGATGCAAGTCTAGTTTCCAGCGGAAGAGTAAGTTGACCAAAGTCACTCGTCAGCGTGCCAGGGACAGGCAAGCTAAGGAGCGATACAAGGTGTCTAGCACTCTACACGCAAATAGCAAAGACATTAAAAATTCGATGCAAAAATCGAAAAATCTTCAGAGTACCGCTAGCAACAATAAAAGTGAAGATTGCAATTATAACAATAACAATTCTAACAATAGAAAGAAGGAGATAGTTAAGGTCGACGATCGCAATATTTCTAAGACTTCCTTCGACAGATGTCTTCGGAAGAAACTGGCGCAGACAACGGTCACCTTGTCGCAGCGCGCCGCTCAAACGTCGCACATAAACTTACACAAGAAACAAGCCGAGAAGCCCAACACGACGGACGCGATGACGCAATGTAGACTCATCACCGAGAATCCGGAAGTCTACGTTATCGGACAGCTGGACGATCAGAGGGCTATTCTGAAGATGGAGTGGGACAAGCTGGCGAAGCTGAAGTCGGAATCGATATGCGGCGTCGTACTGGACGATCGGGGCTCCGAAATTTACCAAACAGTGCGGCTCTGTCCCGTCGCTGCATTTGCGGAGGACAAGGCTGCCGAGTTCGCGGATTCCTTGCAGGACACAACGTCAGCCTTCGTACCTGTGAACGCTTTCGACAGCGATTTGCGGATTGCGCGACTCAGATCGATCGGATTCAAGCCTATACTCAAACCGGGATCTTCTCAAGCCGCCCACGACCCGGAGATCCTTCAAAATACACTCGTGGCCACAAGCAAAGTGACCAAGCGAGACGTTGCCGAAGAGTACGACAAGTATACGAATAACGAGGACAACAATATGGTGGTTTATTTGGACGACGAATTGCAGTATCAAGATATTGAAGAAGAGGACGACGAAAGCACGTTGGCGGCGAACACGTCGAAGAAATCGAAATTAAAGGGCATGCAATCGAAAGTCGGCAGCGTGTTTTCGGAAACGCTGCCGACGCGCGAAAACTTAGAATCTCCTTGGCATGGTTGGAAGAAGATCGTAACGAACAATCGATCGTATTGGATCGGTTGGTAGTTAATTGTACATAGTAATATAGACACCGCGAATTTGTGTGACGCTTCGTTACTGTACAACCAGAAAAAGGAACCGTTTTCTTCAAACGTGTACAATATTATATCTTTATTTTTTTTTTGCCAAAAAGTAAAGGCTGTTGATAACATTCTAAATTATTTTTCTAACAGTACCAATATGGTATTCGAGTTGACTAACATATTTTTAAGAAAGCTTCGATAGATATATATCTATAGGTATTTTATCATATAACTAAAATTTCTTATATATATATATATATTATATATATACATATAAATTATTCTCTATATATACGTATGTATATTTTCTCTACAAGTTTGAAATATAATTAACAGAGATATTTTACTGTAAATAAATAATGTTCTATTCATAGAATTGTTTATCTTTATTACGAGATGTAATAGGACAATAAAATTTATTCACAGATTTACTTGTTCCTTGTGTTCTCTTTTTTTCTTGTTCTTAAATGGCGACGAAAGATTTCGGCACAATGCGCTGTCATATAAAATAGATCTTTGTTAATTTCGACCTCTATTATGCATAAAAAAAAATATAAGGATTATACACAGTTGTACACATAAGACACCAAATACCAAATATTTATTCACATTTGACATAATAGCCATCAATTATCCTTGCACTCTCTTGCGCATATCTTCTCTTTTTCTTTTTTTTTTTTAATGGTGAAAGGCTCCTATTGAAGGAAAACTCGTCAACTTCTGCATCGTCAGACGTACTCTACGTCAGTACATGTGTGTGCATGTATATGTATACAATATACGCGCGCGCACACGTATGAATTTTGCAGGATTAATGAAGGAATAATTTTACAGCACTGTAGAGAGGGACGCAAAGATTTTTGTGGCTCGAGGTTTCCCTAAGAATATAAATGCGAAATTGCAAAAGTTAAAGTTCGCTAAACGCAATTCGTAAAAAATAAAAAAGATACAAAAGTGTAAACAAGCACTGACGTTTATATAGATATATCATGAACAGTTTGTAATCCAAAAAGGAGAATGCGACTCCTTAAAATTAAGTACTATACAATTACATTTATTCTCTTATCCACGAAGTGTAAGCTTTATCGTGCAATTAATATCTCTTACAGTGTCGTAGTAGAGCCACAGGTAGATAACACTGTCTCTCAAACACGTCAGCATATTAAAATAAATATCTTCTATACTATTTACTCATATACGTTATAACATAATACATATATTAACATGAATGTAACATTATGGAACTATTACAAGTGCGGCGTAACACGCCTCTTACACCCCGCGCGATATTTCCTTTCTTTTTTTTTTTCCTTTAAATTCTTGCGCCGTTTTTTTCACATCTTGCGTTTTCCCGTGAGTTCCTATCTATTCGCTTCGCGTTAATCGCTTAAAACGTAATTGGGCTTTTTTTTTCTTTTTTCTTTTGTCGAAAGCAGATCTCTAGAAGTTCATGGAAGTCCCGCATTGCGATAAAATAATCGTCGGTACGATATACGAACTTAAATTTACATTCTTTGAAATGGGTATGAGTGCACGTCGAACCGTGCGCACGTCGAACTGCGCGCACGTGTGTGTGCCTTATTGAAATTCATCGTCGCTGCTTAACAACATCGTTTTCTCATTATAGTTTTGCGAAATCGTGGCGACGCGCTGGTGAGAGGTGTTTCGCCTTTGCGGTGGTGGTACCGGCATGTTTTGCGGATCGTCCGGATCGAAGCTGGATACTCGCATACCACGTTGTCCTTTCGGGCCTCCTAATCGTCACATTACGTTATAAATTACAGCGGGCAAGCATAATACGTGACGAAATGCGCGACGGGCCAATAATAATACGCTAAAACTAGCCGATCGACTGATCAAACGTGAATGCAACTCTCGTGTCCTTTCATTGCAAAAAAAATACAAATTTAGTGGACGGTATTCTAACCGAAATGTCACATTTACATATCGAACATTCTTGCTCTGTCACCATGATTGCAAAATTAAGAATCGAAATCTGGCAAGAAATCTAATTTTCGATGCTATAAATATTTTCTCGCGAAGAAATGAGGAGTCATAGCGAGTAAAAGCTGCCTGAGAAGCTTAATCAGAGCAACAAAATTCGAATTAGATATCCTTAACGTGATACATAAGTGCAAGAAAAAAAATTGTATATTTTACAATGCAATCGCAATGCAAACAATTCATGCAGATTGTTGAAATAGGAAATAAAATAACCGGAAGCAGCTGGGATTGTGACTTCGCCATTGTGAGTGTATGCTATACTGTTGGGAAAGAGGACAATGATGTGCTTACATGCTCGTTTGTTTCACACCACATATTGGCATGCTACATAATACAATATAATAGGAATATAAAATAAAAGCGATAAAAATTAATACTAAGATTGTGACGGTTATGATGTTAAAAAAAAAGAAACAAAAAAAAAGAACGATACATCGACCAATACCTAATTATCCTTTACACTTTTTTATAGAGCAATACTATGAGTATACACTACTCTCTCTCCCTCTCTTTTTCCTTCTTTTCTCTCTCCCTTTCCGAATGCTCGTCTTACGTTAAGTTCTTAACTCCTATTTTACAGCAGTATTGGTTAATCGCAAAATGGACGAGTTGTATATGAATATAACACGTATATGTCGATGATATTTTAAGTACAATCCTTATTTTGTATGCAATTTCAGCAGAAAATTCATTTATCAATCCCTTGCGGATAGATACCGATCTTTAAGGCATTGTGTAATCCCGTAAGCAAAGTATAGTGCTGTATCATGTATATTTTGATCCTCATTTAAAGTCGCGCACAAAGCTCGATGTCCAATTTCTTGAAATTAAAAAAGTGACGCCTCACTGTGTCATAGCTTTTCGTACGGCAAGTTGGTATTAACGTCTGAAAAACAGCAAACAAAAGTGCCTTCAAAATAATTGTTGAGTTTAACAGACCGGCACATATTAAGAGAAAATTTGTTATTAGTCTTTCTCTAAAGTGACAAACATTACAGGTGGTCTATTTTAAAACGTAGATATTCTATACTATATCTGTGACTTTTTGGACTTGCTTGCGTAAATACTTTATGATATGCGTGAGCAGATAGTGCCTGCATTGGTCAGCAGTGAAGTGTCAGCGCATATAAGTGAGATATAAATTATGTACAAAAGCCAAAGCCTGTAATTGAAGCGTTTGTAAAATCTCGATTAAAATGTGTAATTGTCGCATTATTAGCATCATATATGTCAAATAATCTTGCTCTATAATCAGAATGTACAGTATTATAGCTTCGCTTTCACTCGATATTTTTTTACTGAATGTATGAGAATGTATGAGAAAAAAAAGTAATCTTTGTATGAGACATGGATAAGAACTTATGAGTCAAATTTTTATTGCACGCTACGTCATGCTATATGAAAATTGAACAATTTTTAAATATAAATAGTTATTAAAACAAATAAATAAACATATATACACGTAATAAATAATTATGCAACAATGCGTAAAAAGAAAATAAGGAATTGTAATGCAAAAGTGATACATACCAGCACTATATTGAGTGTACTGTTGGTACTGTGGATGGAAATTATGGATGGCATCGGTCATAATATCTTTCGGATTCATTGTTTCCTGTAAAACATCATCAAAATAGTGTCGAAGCTACCACAAGAATGCATCTCTGTCCGCATTTCAGAGACATTTTACACATACTTTCAAGCTGCTGCTGATACTTTGCATCGTTACACTTCTACCTCGGGAATCGGTGACACAGCCAGCTGCGTACACTTGGTACGGGAACGCATAACGTAATGCTATAGCTGCGAACAACATCTCGATGCAAATGAGGAAATTTTGGTAACCGGCGGAAACCGTACCAGCACTCGTTGATTGACCCAAACTGTTTATGACAGGCGAAATGACATTCGCCTTTTCCAAAATAGCTAGTAAAACTCCTGCATGGGAAAATATTTTTTAAAATTATTATCCAATACACACATCTCTGCAAGTTTTCGTAGGATTATAGGATTTTACCTTGCCAGAATGACAGGAAGATCACGCTCTTCACTGTACAAAACTTGAGCACAGGCTCAAACGGCGTCAGCAGGTCCCTCGTAGCGAAGTAGAACAAAAAGAGCCCGTAAAGTGCAAGCGACACACTGATATTGTAAATTATGGTGATGTAAATGTAACCACCGTCGGGGGACCAATCTCCGTCTCTATAATGACCGAAGGCTTGCAGAAATATGATAACAAATGCCATCACTGGTTTAACTAAGCAGAACTGCAGGGTGGCCTGCTTGCAGAATCTCAGGAAGCCGATGGTGTACGTCTTCCCGACTAGGCAGCAAGTGCCGTAAAGGCAACTGGAGCGTATCGGCTTGCCCCTAATTTCGGACATAATATTGCCCTCACCGCCCAGATATTCATAGCACAGCGACAGGAAGTTGTATATTACAAACGCTTCGTAACAGTCCCGCACTGTGAAAAAGTAAACATAATAACTTTCGCTGTTGAAGAACAACAGCGAGATCCAGGAATAAGTGGCATAGATGGGCACGATAAAGAGAATCCGCACTATCCATCTTTGCTCCGTGGGATTTGTGTACCACCTGAGATGTTGATAGATCTACAAACAAGGAAATAATAGTTAGTATTGTTAATTGTTTTCTGCTGCAAAAAACATCTTATTAATATATCGCGGATACCTGTTGGCAAGTGAGAAAAAGTGCCACCCACACAAATACACCGGCAATGACCTGGGCCGCGCGAGTCTGCAAGAAGATCGGCGTGCCTTCCTTGGGTACGTCCGCCAAGTCGCTGACATCGGTGGTCGTTGACATCTTGCTCGAAGTATTCACGAACGTGGCGTGTGACGTCCCTGTGACCGCGACACCATTCATGCGTCAACCTGCTGATAACAGCGCAGACAGTTACGTCGTGAATTATTGTCGCAACAATCAATCGTTTCGTCGATCGACCTGATCGACGAAGGAGTCATAACAATCGTGTAATCTCGAACGCGAAGACGCGTGTGAAAAGAGAGGGGGGAGTGGCACGGGGAAGGAAAAAACGGAAGAAAGCGCGTGCGAGTGGTAAACGCGAGATTGCACGAACGACGGTTCGCATAAATCGATATATAAACCGAGGATTACAATCGGGACAGTTTCGTTGAACGATTCGGAGTTACGACATCGCGGCTGCGTGAAAAGGGTCTTTACGTCAACTGTCGTGTTGCCATTATCGTGAAAAAAAATACACACACACACAACACATACGAAACTGATTTTCATAATACGGGAATACGCGAACTCAGCGAAACTAGGCCGGTTTGAATAATGAAGCACGGTGATACAACAACGGTGAGGTCGCGCTGATTTCGCAGAATTTTTTTTTCCTCGTTTCGTCAACATACCCGTGCCCCCATTCGCGAGGTCCTCTTCAGATATTGCAGCATACGCGCAAACGGATTACGTGTGTCCACCGTGAAAAGTTCCGTTTAACGCTTGCTACCGTTGCTGACGTTCTCCTTTCAACGCAGAGACCAACAAAGCTGACAAGCCAGTCAACTAGAGCCAGCGTTTCCCTCCTGACGAATTACTTGATTAATCGCGCGGTACTTCGAGCTTTCGTACTTTCAGGCAATCTCGCTGGACGATCGTGCACGATGACGTTTCCTCGGCGAACAATACGCGCGCACACGGAATTGATTGCCCTCCGGGCATTCGCCGTTTACAAGAATTTTATCTACACTCACGTATTCTTGCGCTCGACATTCCCTCCCTCGCCGTCGCCCTCGTGCGTACAGATGCGTAGAGCGCACTGGCGTCGAAGAGAAATAAAGTACGCGGCGAGGTCGTCCTCGGCTGTCACTTGCGCCGCGATCTCGCTCAATATTACGCGAGAAACGCGAACGTATGGTCGTTACTTGCTCCGAATGAACTTGTTTTTCTCGCGAGTCGCCTTCACCGCCGATCCCGCAAACGGTTTCACTCCCACCAGTCCGTTGTCCTCCGCACCCCGCACCACCCCCTGCACACGGGAAAACCGCTCTTGCGCGCCAGGCGGCACGTCGTTGTTCTTTCGAGCTGCGTTCTACGCGTTCAAAGTGAAACGCTTGGACCAGTGGCGGATTCTCTATTCGACGTAATGAGCACGCAATTTCGGGCTTTTGGCACCGTGGAATCTTGGAAAATTGAGTCTGAAGCAAAAAGAAATTTCAATGTTAGCGTTTCATTAATTGATAACAAATTCTATTGCGTTCAATGATATTACTTTCACATAGTATACAATAGGGCAATGGTTTCCCACGCTATGAACGGATCTATTTCGGCATTCAATACAAATTCTATAGAATAAATTATGACGATTGAAACTCCTTAGATAGATCTAAAATAATAAAAAAGTATTAATATTTTTTTCAGTGTTATTGATGAATAGTTGAAAAATTAATTAATGTCAAGGAAATAAAATCAAATTCTAATTTTGCATGTCCCAAGGAATAATTTGATCGTTGTAATCATTATAAATACAATATCTATATATACATCGTAAATGTCATTTAAAAAAAAAAAATCAATATCGTTCTTTGCATTGCCTGTTCCTATTTCTACATCCTACATCCTCACCTTTGTCCTACAATTGAAGGTTCTATGAAGCAAGCGCTTCTCGCGACGAGCTCATCAACGAAAATCTACTAAGTATCGACGCGCGGCCGTGAATGATCCTTGTCCTCTTCTGCGCCTCCTTTTGCCTGTAATTACATTATTCATGCCACCTCCAAAGGCTGCGCGAGTCGCTGTAGCTTTTATCTCACGCCGCTTCTCCGAAGAAAAACATTTAGCAAAAATCAAGAAAACAAATCCTTTTCTAGCTATGTTTCATCATACTTTTTGCATTTTTATGTAAAATAAAGTATGTAATTGTTTTTGTCTCGGGCAGAAGGAAGGAGGAATGGTATTATAAAAACTATAGAATGCCTCAGAAGAAAACAACTTGGCGCCTTGGCGTCACAAACGTCACGAAGCCATCGATAAAAAAAATATGGAAGAACTGCATACCGCAATTTTCGATTGCCGCGTCATCTGAATGCATCGAACAAAACTTTGTAGCAAAAAAACATTTTATCGCTGTCCATAAAGTGGAACTCTAGAATTTTCTAAATGGCGTGATGGAAGCAATCTAGTGATTCAAGATTTCTATGCTTTATCGTCATCTCTTTTCTTCTCCCTCTTGGCGCTCAGCTGTATATTGTCCATTACATTTTGTGTTGTGCGACACGAGAGGCAAACGGGAAATGTTAGAGAAACGGAGGAAACGACCGCGTAATGTCAGAGGCAAGTGATGCACCGGTGTTTTCGCGGCACGCTATTTTTACGAAATGATGTCAAGCGGATAAATAATGCCACGAAAGGAAAGCAAGTGAGTTAAGATTTATCAACTTTTATTATATATAACCTCGCCACTTGCCATTGAAATTGTCCCAATTTATTTTAAACACATGACAATTATGTGCAACAAAAAATACATGTGGAGCATTTGAAAAATTTTTGGAACAAAATGGAAAAATAGTTTGCGTCTTCTTAAAATTGTCTTTGTTTTTCAATATAATCTTCTTTAACATCAACTTGGACTAATGATGCTCCAAAGCCATTATGCTCCGATATGTCAAGATCTCAAAAATTTCCAGCAATTGCTTCTTCCGCTTCTTCATCTGATGAAAATTTTCAGAAAATTTAAAGAAAATTTTTTTTATTCGTGAAAATGGAAGATGGAAGCTAAATCAGGCAAATAAGATGGATGACAACGAATCATCAATTCATTAATTTTTCCCATTGAAACAATATTTGTGTGGGAACATGCATTATTTTTGCAGTGTTTTTTTATCTAACTATTGACATTTTTTTATACAGCAAAACATGGGAGCGCGACAGAAGAATACGCATGAACGAGTACTTCAAGATGTTAGCGGATCTTCTTCCATCGCATCAAGAAGGTCGCAAACTCATCAAAGTCGACATCTTGATACATGCTATAAACCACATAAAAGACCTCCAAAGTCGCATGGAGGGTTCATTCCCCACTTATGCTATCGAGGCACACAGTATGTAATCCGAAACTATATATCATATTAGAAAAATTTTTTTTTCTAATTTGACAACTGACTGTATTGTGTTACTTTTCTAGAAGAAGATGTAGATCGTTTGAAAAAATTTGTGACTCAGCTAATATTGCGCACTCAATTACTGTCTTCTCTTCTGAAGGAAGCAGGAATTACAGTACCAGTCGAGCCAGCTCTTGAAAAAATATCTCCTTTGAAATGGTCAAACAAAATGAATATCGATGATATAGTAGACAAATATTTTGATACTATCAAAGAAAGTAAGTATTAAATTGCATAGTAAATATAATAATTAAAAATTTCTCAATAATTGACTGATTTTAGAAAAAACTGTAGAAAAAAGAAAGAAGGAGAAATCTACGAAAAATAAAGTGCCTTCAAAGAAAAAATCAAAGACACTGGAGAAGTCGTCGACTCTGGTGAAGCTATCTGAGGAAGTTGCCGTGAAGAATGTTTGCAATTCGATAGAGAATCAGGAGAATCGAGTGAACTGTGCCAATAGTAAAAATTATAATTCCGATAGTACAAGTGGCGGAAGTGAAACTGTATCAAAAGAGGCAGAACACAGTGAAAATGGTACAGACGAATCCAGAATAATTGTTATCTGCTTATATAACGCTATATAAAATTTTATTGCTTGATATTTATAGGTCGATTAAAGCACTAATATTATTTTTCTGTTTAAATTTAGATTCCACCAACAAAGCAACTGCGTCGCGTAGATTAAATTCGAAAAAGAAAACTAGTAAGTCTAAAATTATCAATATACTTTTAAAACCAATGTTACCCCAGTTGACGTAAATTTTTATTTTCAGCGGATAAGAAAGCCGAATCTGAAAAAGCATTGAAGAATAAAAGCAAACATAAGAATAAGAAAGAATCGACATCACCGCCTGTGGCAAACACTGTCGCCAATTTGCCTAATACTCTAATTCTTTCTGGAAAATTGATGCCTCTGGTGACTCCAATGACATCGAATATCATTGTGAACACACAGCAGGCGTCGACAAATCCGATAATCCTAGGTGGCGCGCAACAGAATCAAATGATTGTGATGCAGCCCTTGGCGAATCACGTTCAAAACACCGTCGTCTCAATATGCAATCACACTCTGATCAACACCGTGCAGAAGGTGTCTCTGAACACCGTACCGAGCATTAGCGCGAACATGGTCGTCGATTCTCACAATTGGACGTCTAACGTGACGAACATAATCAACGCTACGAAGATCGGTGGTCACAAAGGTATTCTGCCAAAAGGCAAGGAAATCACGAAGACGACTATGACTTACAAAGTGCCTATTCCGGCGATATCGAAGGGGAAAATGGAAAGATTCAAGGATAGCGCGAGTAAAAGAGAAACGGAGGTGAAAATAAAAGGTAGCAAGAGTCATTCCAAGAGCCACAAAAATATTCAAAGCACATCCGAAGAGACCGAGGAGAATGTCGAGAAGAAATCGCCGAAAGAAACGACTGCCAAGACTCGGGAAGACGCAGTTGCGCGAAAGGGCACGCTTAAACGTAGCTCATCTTCGAAATCGTCCGATTCTGCGGACGAACCGGAAGACAAGAAGCGAAAGGATGTCGACGAGGTGAAATCCACCCAACCGAGTGTCCCGCAGGCGGCAGATTTTACCGCTACTTGCAAGTCTTTCGAAAGTCTGAAGCACGTTTTAGAGAAGATGGAGGAGAACATTCAAGACGAGCATGCGACTGTCAATAACGAGAAGGAATCTGTCGTCGCAAAAGCGAATAACACGGATCTACAAATCGCGGACCACGAAGAGACGTCGAAAACGAACAAATTAATGAACATCGTGGACACAAATTGCTTCGAGTTGAATAAAAAGACAACCGAGAATGTCATCGACGCTGTGTCGCAGTCCGTTGTCTCAAACAAGTTCCCCGGTGAATTGCTCAAGTCTAGCGACTCGGACGCTCCTGATCGATCATCCAATGACTTTAACATGTCGATAGATGGTATCGCGGAAAAGAGCGGTGAAAGTGCGGAGCATTTGAGCGCGAAATCGACTTTGACGGATGTCGAAGTGGTGGAGAAAGCCGTGGGTTCGGAGGGGCCGAAGGAAACGTGTAATCTGGGCACACGTTTCGACAGTCTTCTACGTGTGACAACAGCTAAAGAGCAGCAGCAAGTCAGCGACGCGATGAGCACCGCGGAAAATAACAAAATCATCCTGAATCTAGACACGAATACTACGACGACGATGAAGCCCGATGCAAGTGCGAACATCGTCGACGCATCGGTCTCCGCTGCGGACGCAGCGGCATCGACGTCTTCGTCGTTATCTTCATCGTCATCGCCATCGTCGTCATCGCTGCTGACCACCGGCGTAGTCAATGACGATGCCAAATTGACGAAGAGCTCGAAGGACGAAATTTCCAAGTCGTTATCGTACACGAATGAGAACACCTTCGTGCCCATCGGCAACAGAACGGACGGATTGCACTCGGATCTGTCCAACGATATATTCGCTTCTCTGCAAGTTCCGTCCAGCTCGCATAATCCGGAATCGATATCGCCCACTGCGGCGTTTCTGATGGCCTTCCCGCTGGTGTCATCGCTGAACGGTAAGACCGAGGTGTTGGACGAGGAGATGAAGGAAGACTTCAAGTATCACAGTCAGACTCCGCCGATGCTGCTGCAGATCGGCGCTATGGAGCCGAACAGTTTCAAGATCAAAACATCCTCGCCGTCGCACGTGATAGCGGAGAAACGACTGAAGGTGTCCTGCGAGGAGAAGCAAGTCGCGAACGCGAACGCAGACATGATCGTCGAATGTGCCACCACGAAATCATTGCCGAAGGTGGTGAGCGAAGAGACGTTGCGCGAGCCGTACAAGATAGTTCAGACCGTCCTAACGAGCTTAGAAAAACCGGTGGCGACCACCAGCGCGTTCTCTCACGCTTCGGTCAACTTCTCCGCTGTGGATTCCTCGTGTATTATCGGCAACTCTTCGAGTTTAGCGACGAATCGTGCGGATCAATTGACGACGACGAGCACGTTGAGCAGCGTCAATGCGATCGCGTCTCAGGCGCCGATGAATATTCCCGCCGCCGCGGACAAGAGCGACATCGCGGACTGCACATCTCAGGCGATGACGAATCGCAATCCCGACGCGGTGTACTCGGGCACGCAGGACTTTCTGCCGAGCTACTCGGCGGTGGTCGGCAACAGTCTCGGCGCGCTGCAGCACGCAACACCGAGCTCGTTCAAGAACGCCATCGCGACGACGCAGGATTCGAATCCCGCTATAGTGCCGCGGATCGAAAACACCGACAGTTCTCAGAATCTGTTGAACAATCGTCTCGATAACGCGACGGTGACGACGAATACGTCGTCTGGGACTCTGCGCTCTCTACAGGTGAACTATCTGGCTCAAGGGAAGGACAAGGGCACGCAAAGCTCGTCTCATGCCATCTACTCGTCGCACAACAAGAACAACACGCTCATCGATTCCGCCGGTATCGTTTCCGATTACGCCACTCAGATAAATCGAGATCTTCCGGCGACGTCGCAGAGCTTGCAGAGCTACTCCGTGCCGACGAAAGAGTCCTCTCTTCCGATTCTGCCGCCACAGAACATGCAACCTGTGTACAATCAGACGAAGGACAATCACGTTCTCATGGATCTGAACAATTCTCAGCAAACGTTTGCGGTTCATAAGAAGCAGGAGCACATCATCGCGAGCAACAGTTATGTCACCGATCAAGCGAAATCGATATCGCAGAAGGACTCGATATCGTACACGACCGGCGATAACGAAGCCGCGAGCGTTTCATCGCGGAATCAGGATTACGCCGCGAAGGTCGCGAGCCAGAATTCCTCGGAAAACTCGTTTCAGAGAAGCTACTCCAAGCTTAGCAAGGGCACGGACACGTCGGACAATCCGAATCAGGAGGCGAAGCTGAGCGGCGTGCTCGGCTCGAAATCGCAGCAAGACACGCCTTACGTTCCCGCGAAGAAAATGGACGTCGATTCGTTCGTCCAGTCATTCCAGTACGATGTGAAGGAGGCGATGGGCAACGCGAGCGAGCGAGCGAACGTTCTAAACGCGAACGCCGATGACACGCACAATAATTACGTTTCTTATTCTAGTAAGGATGATAAGAAGACGAACGCCGCTGCTTCGACGAACACCATAGCCAATAACAAATCGGTGGGGGTGCAGCAAGGCGGTATTCCACGCTATTCGCAACAAGTATCGTCATTTGTCACTACGTCCAACTTCGAGCAGAGCACGGAGAATCACGCTAAGTCCACCACCACTGTTGCTCACAATTCCTCCAACTTCAGCATCCTCTCCTGGACGACATTCTCGCCCGTCAGCGGCGGCGGCAGCAGCGGCGGCGGCGGCGGCGGCGGCAGCAATAATAATAACAACCTTGGGCACTTTGAGCAGAGCCAATCTCATCCGAACGACAATACGGAGGTAAAAACTATCTGCGAAAATTACAGCTACATGCCATTGCACAAAGAAAATTCGAGTTTCCCCAATCAGGTGTTGCCCGGTGACAATTATCCGAGTAATTCGACGGTGTCAGGCGGCATTGATAAGTCACGCCAAGGGAAAATTGAGTCGGGGCAAAAGCAGCCCTTTGTTGATCCCTCGAAGACCAGAAACGATCCGTCGAAGCAGCAGAACAGAATGCCGAATCAGCAGCAGACTGGTAATGATTACAAGTTTGCTGACGGTAGTAAAAACAAGAACAAGTACGGCATGGATTCAGACTACATGCAGAACGAGTATGGCACCACGTTGGATCAGCAGCAGCAGCAGCAGTCTCAGCAACACGACCCGAAGAATCATCAGAATCTGTCATCCAAGCAAGAGAAAGCGGTGTATTATGACTCGCAAATTAACTTCGATCTGACGGAGAACAATATGCAGATGAAGTATCCGATTGACGCTTACGCCGGCGCAAATTTCAAGTACACGAATGAGAAAACGACGCAGCAGCAAAGCCAGCATAAGTATCAGACGCTTTCTCAAGGGCAGATTTCTGTTCTGCCGCACGACAGCGCTAATTACAGCAATGACGTGAAGCACACCCAGCAACAGCAGCAGCAGCAGCAGCCGCAATCACACAGCAGTAGTAACAACGGTAATAATAACAAATCTAAAACTAATCAGCATCAGCAGCATGCAATTAAGGCGCCGGTCAACTGGATGATGACGCCAGAAGTGAAGCACAACACCACGAACATCGACATCATTCTACCGCCGATCGGCAAAGAACTGGAGTTTTGCCAGAACAATCTATTTGCTCGGACGCCCACGTACAGTCAAAGTACTTCAAATCAGTTCTACAACAATTACGATATGGCCGCGGCGCACAGCTTCCCGAATCTGCCGGTTTTGCAGAGCGATCCGAAGAGATCCGCGGAGACCTTCGGCTACTCCGAGGAGCAGCCGTTTCCCTGGTCGCCGACCAAGAGCGGCATGCACAACAGCGTCGAGCACATGGTCGGCCAGTCGTCGGTCAAGTGCATCGACCAGCATATCGTGTCGTCGAGTCTGCAGACTCTGGTGGGCGATCTCGAGCTTAACGCCAATCTGACGGAGAAACAGAACTTCCTGTTCGGCGTCGCGACCTCGTCGTCGAGAGTTTCCGCGGAGCAGAACAAGGACGCGTCGATAAAGGAGAAAGAGGCGAACAATGTGTCGGGACGAGAACTGCACGCGATGCTGAACACTCAGAACGCGCAGCATCCGGCTTCCAACTTCCTATCCGTGAGTCAGCTGGTGGAGCATCAAAAGGCGGAGAAGAATCATCAACAGCAGAGCCATCAACAGCAACATCAGCATCACCAGCATCACCATCCGCATCAGCATCACTCGCAACAGCAGCAGCAGCAGCAGCAACAACAGCAGCAACAGCAGCAGACAAGGAAACATCAGAGAAAGAGCAATGCGAGTCCCAGAACAACCAGCAAGCGGCAGATGGATATTCGCAAATCCACAACGGCCAATGAGAACAATCTAAATCAGCGGCACGAGGAGCAGAAATCATCCGGGCACGTATTCACGGAACAGAACTACCAACAGCCGCAGCAACAGCCGCAACAGCAGCAGCAAAAGTATCAGCAGAACAACGTTCACTGGAGAAGCCGAAACTGCAAGAGCAATTACACCGCAGAAGCGCTGATCGGGACCAGCGTCCACGATGCCGGCGGCCATCAGGACAAGCACGCGTCAATCAAATTCACCACCAACTATCCGCAAAACAAGTTTCAGAGCGGCCTGTCCGCGGACACCGCGATGATGCCGATTAATTATTTCTCAAGCGCGCCGCCGGACGACGGAACTGCCGCCGGTTACGGCCAATCTGTAGTCAATCAGAACTTCAACACGTACGCGTATTCCTCGAACTCCGCCAACTCGATTTATTCCACCGGTAACTTCATCACTAGCATCTCCAACACGCCCAACAGCTACATGACCATGCCGCTGCACGAGAACGCCGCCGATTACACGCAGGAGGCCAACAGCTTTCTGCTGCCGAACATGGGCGGGACGAGTTCGTCGAGCGTCAGCACCGTGAACACGTCCAGCGCGAACACGAGCTCCACCACGGCGAACGCGAACGGGAAGAGTCATCAGCACTACGGGAAGCATCCGAATTGCGACAAGCGCTCGTACTCCACCGCCGCGAAGAAGGGCAAGCGCAAGGGTCTCGAGAGCGGCCCGATGCAGAATCTGGAGTTCCCGCTGTCCGGCATCAATTCTCCGCTCGAGGACTATCATCACTCGACGACGTTTCTGCCACCGCCGCCGCCCCCGCCGCCGCCGCCGCCGTCCCACGGCAATCCGCTTTATCAGAATCATCCGCAGACGAACGTCTACGCTAAGACTGTGAACGGGCTTCCGCCACCTCCGCCATCGGCCATGGCGAGTACTCAGGGTGTCGCAGCCGGTTTCTCCATGAACTCCAACATGGTCCGCGGAGGAATTGTCTCGAGCAATCCAATGACCATGCCGCATCATCCCTCGGGCACTAGTCTCACGAATTTCAATCTCAGCACAATATTTCCTGAAATAAACGACAAGGTGTGTTATAAATTGAAAAAAATATTATTTGTTCAATTGTCGTATTTTTTTCACTTGTGAGATCTTTCAATGTTTTTCTTTTTTCTTTTCAGGTCGCTGGATATAAGCCTTCAAACGGTGTACAACCCGGCTTGTCGCAGACGGCGAATCAGCCTGCGACTTACGTGCAACGAACTAATTATCCGTCGAACTCTTTGTGTCATTTGCCGCAAGTGTGTTTATAGAGTCTCCACACATAATACCAAGAGCAATTGTGTATATTCTAAGAATAGTGTGTGTATATATCGTTTGCGAATTTCGAAAGGCATGCGATTCATTATTAGCGTTCCATTATTTCCCCCTTCTCTCCCTCGTGGAGTAATTTATTGTATAAATGTACGAACAAATTTATAATGTATAATGCGATTGATTGTCGTTTGTAAATATGTAAATATACATTATTCATTAAATTAAAAGATGTTGGTACAAAAATGTTCATTCAATTTTTTTATATTGATTATTTAAATTGTTGAATTTTAAGCTAGTCACTCACGAAATAAGAAATAATTTTATTTCTTTAAGTTAAAAACAACTTAATACAAAAGAAATATATATCAAATTATATATATTTAATTAAATTCTTGTCCTCGTTCATATATCGTCTTTTTTTTTGCTTAATTTGTACTATTGAACATTGATTCCTTAATCAAAATATAATAACTTGCCTCGAATTAATAAGGAAATATATATATAGGATGAATTTTATTTACTCACAGACATAATTTAGTTACGCTATAAAAAACCACATTTTTACAATCTAAATTAGCTCGAATTAATAAAACAAATGTTATTCATTTACAAGCAATAAAAAAGTAGTATGAAATAGAACACACTTATTTACAATACTTAAGTCTTTGGATATTTACAAGGACCATCGTTATCACAGCATATGTAGTATACGTTATTATAAATACGCAGGTGGAATTGTCAAATTATCTCAAATCTTTAGTAGGTGGTTTCAACGGTATTTTGCCCAAAGTAAATTCTTGAGCTAAGAACATACTCTTCTCGTCATCGGTTAACGCATCTTCCGCGCTGTAAACGCTATCACTGATAATAGAATTCATAATAATAGCATTAAACGGCGATTTTCCGAATGGAGACGAGATGTTGGTAGCGCCAGGATGACTCTGCGCAACGTTTCCAAATGGCGCATTGCTCTGTTGCGTTCGTGGTGCGAATGGATTAGCGGGTGTCGTCGTTGTGAGAGTTGTCGTACTGAACGGTGAGGAGGCATTAACATTGCCGAATGTAGTGAACGGCGAGGTGTTGGCGACGGTCGCGTTGGAAGTGACGAAAGTTCCTGCGTTCGCGAATATTGGATTGGAAGATGTTTCTGTGGTGCCAAACGTGCTATTTGCAACGGCCATACCGAATCCCGCGTCCACGAACTGCGTCGAATTTGTGCTGGCAGAATCAAGCTGCTGTGAATTAGTGACGAATGGAACGCTGATCGTGGCACTCGGCGTTCCGAACGGCGTACTGTTGCTTACTGCAGCATTAATATTCTGTCCGCCGAAGACGTTTGAGGCGGATGTTGCTGCTCCAAAAGTATTATTATTGGACTGTTGATTCAAATCAAAGGCCGACGTTGTAGCGGCAGCAGCGGACACACCAAAAGCTGGCGTCACAGTGGCTGTCGACCCACCGAAAATACCACTCGTGGATATCGCAGGGACGCCGAACGCTTGATTGCCGCCGAATATCGGGTTGCCAGTATTATTGGCGTAATTATTCACCCCGGTAAAAACTGGCGCTCCGCCGAATGCAGGTACTTGTGTCTTCGACTGGCTGAATATCCCGCTGTTGACAGAACTGGACGAGGTGGTCGAGGTGCCGAAGACCGAATTCGTTTGTAAGCCAGCCGACGAATTGTTAGTGCCGAATAAGTTAGCGGCGGTGGTTGTCGCTCCACTGAACAAAGTGTTTGCCTGCGAGGTCATTGGGTTGTTAAACAGCGAAGTAGAGGGCGCGTTGCCGAGCTGGTTTGTTCCGCTGAATATGGTGTTACCTTGGCCGAACATATTTTGAGATGGTACACCGAAAACTGAATTATTCTGTGACGCGCTAAACGCCGCTGTATTGCTCGACATATTGTTAAATGACGTCGATGTATTTGTCACGCCAAAAATGGAGCTGGTATTATTCGTTGCTGTACCGAATCCGCCGAGATTGTTACCAAAGGTCGCCGTATTGCCAAATACCGATGCTGAGTTGTTATTGGTTTTTCCAAATATTGACGATGTGTTGTTCGAAGAGGTGAATCCTCCCCCACCAAATGGATTATTGTTTGGAACATTATATGTTTTATTTGCGAATACGTTATTAGTCGACGTGTTATTGGCTATACCCAATTGAGAAGCTGCAAAGAAAGCAGATGGCTTTCCAGTTGTATTTGCGTTTGAACCACCTTTCTGGCTGCTTCCCAAAATCTTTTTCTGAAACACATTATATTATTATATTTGATCCAAATTTTTATCAATTAATTAAAGTAATTACATGACTGCCATTATTTTTATTCAACTTACCAACATTAAGATTGTTTCTTGTGTAGGATTCTTCAGTGCTTCTCTTTTTGCCTTCATGTCTTGGCACAATTGTTGGAAATGCAGTTTCTGAAAATGATTTCAAACGAATATTTAATATGTGGCAATTATTATACAAAAAAACTTTTTAACTTTTCGCAAATGTCTTAAAATTCTATGTTAAAGTTTGAATAATTCTACTAACTGCTTGTTCAACCATGCCGGTCTTCTGTGCCTCATACAACTCCCATCGGACTTCCTCTGGAGACATGTCTTCCATACCTGGGATACAGGGACGTTCTCTGAGTGGTCCAAAACATGAGAGTAGCCATTGTTCACCTCTCTCCGCAAGGAGCACCTCCTTGGCCACCGTGAGACTATGGAAAATAAATAGATTAGAAAAGAGGAGACATTATATACTTCAACTTTATCTTGCATAAATAAAAGCTTTTAATATTTTAGCATGTAGTACTCACGCAATATCATCTTCGTTAAACTCGGCTTTGTTGCTCACTTGAGAAAACAATAAAAATGTTACTCAGTGTTGCTTACATAACATATTGTTAAAGTTTGTCTTACCAAAACTATTTATGTGCTCGTATTGACAGTATTGCCCATAACGACAATTGCCTTGCCGATAATACTTGCAAATAACCATGCTATATATTGCAGAGACGTAGAAATAAAGAGATAACTGAAAGCAGTGCTTTATGAATATTTCTCCTTATTTGAATGTATACATTTTTTTGATAAAGTATAGTTTTAGTTTATTTTAAAAATTATTTTGTATGATTTGTAAATTTGTAGTTCGCAGTGTATAGGCTGTCAGATGCTGTTTTCTGATTGTTGTGAATTGTTGGTTAGATAAACGTGAACAGAGCCATCTATCTTCTATTTTGCAAACTTGGTGGCAAAGCGCGGTATAACTCCGTTCATAAAGTATAATAAATCTATGTGGTAGCGATAGGACTGACAATAAATATTTACTTTGAAAGTGTAATTGTCTCATTCTTTTCAACTATCATTCAATCGTAAACTTGAAATATGTATTACAAATTTAATCAGTTAGTCGAGACTCAAGCCTGAACTAATTGTAGAACCGACCTAAGCGCTGGGCGTACAAGTTTAGAAAAAGAACGCAGTAAAAAAATTCCAAATTGCTCTTCCTATAATATTTAATATATACTCTCATTTCTAATATTTTCTTTATTGTGCGTAGAATATAAATATTACATCAACAAGCGGCGCTAAGCATTAATAAACGATTTTATTTCAAAACGAACATGCTTTATAAGGAAATGGTTTAAATCTTAAAAGTAAAGATCTGATAATAATGTAAAATAAAATTAAAGATTGATTTTATCATTCTGAAAAAAATACATCATATTTTTTGAAAAATAATTCTACAATACTTGATATAAATAAAAGTTTTTCTATAGATATACTTGAATTTATCAAGCTATATGATTTAAAAATATAAAAACATAACACATACTTAAAATATAACCTAAATGTTTCATCATTGTAAGCTGATATAACATTTTTAATGTAAATTTGCAATCGCAGTATTAGTGTCATTATAGAGCATGTTTTTTTAGTAACTTTTTATATCTTTCTACAATTTTATAATAAGCATTTTGATCTTCAGTATCATCACATATTTCAAATAACACTGGTGTTGCAAATACTATAATTAATTTTTCATCATCTGATATTTTCATTTCTGTTTTCATTCGCTTAGTAAAATCAAAAAGCACGGTTATTGTAAGCGTCGCTTTAGCACTCACAAATCAAAAAGAACGATTGAAATTAGCGCTTATAAGCGTAAGCGCTCACAGCGCATAAGCATCCAAAGGAAACGCAGCCTATGTATAAAGTTCATTGGCTTGGTGAGAAATCATGTGACCAAAACTACTGTAGCAGTTGGTCATTTTCGGTCACATATGTTTACCGCTGAAATTGGACGTAAACGTAAAAAGGCACCTTGAGTGATATGTTTTGCACATTTGTAAATAATACAAAATTAGTTGTGCAACGATTAATAACGGACATACTTGCCGTTATTGTGAATTTCAGACTCTTTCGTACTTCGCTGAACTGTCTATGCAATGGCTATAATAACGGACTTACCCATTGATGTGATTATTATCATCTTGTGCGATGAGAGCATCAGCTTTAAGGATATTATGAGCTTAGCTCTCTCATTCAATTTCAATTTCTACAACTCATTAATCGAACTCAATACGCTTTGGCGGAAGAAATTTTATCAGAGGTATTTGTTCACATTGGTTTTTGTGCAAACAAGCTTAATTTATCTTATTCGGGATGCAAGTTTGATGATAAATAAATATCTTATTTCATTTGCCTTGAATAAATTTTTTATTTTAGTCAAAATTTGTAATGTATAGTAACGTTTGTTTTAAAATTTTTATTTCGGTTTCAATAACTTCATCTGGCTTGTATAATTTTGGAAAATTATATAAAGAAACTGTAAAATATGTAAAATTATATAACTTTGAAAAATGACATGTATTTTTTTTTTAATTTTAGATGGCCTCATCTAAGAGAAGAATACAACGAACAACTGTGCCTAGAAAATAAAGGTTTTTTTGAACAAGTAAAAGCAGGTGTAAAATCTAAGAAAGAATTATGGCATTATTTGTCGCTGATGTCTGAGAAACACTATTACAAAGATGATTTATTTGATGTTGACTTTAGGGATTTTGATTCACTGATTGATCCAGATAAAGGCGCATATTTTATGAATTATTATTTCTTTGTAAATGAACTGAGAAGGTTGCTTACAGAATCTCCAATGTAAGATTTAACAAATTGTTAATACAGCAGATTATAACGCATTTATTGCATATTTAATTCAGGAAATATTAGATTTTAAATATTGTATATAAAATGTTTTAGGGAATCTGATTTGACACAAAGATATTACGCAGAGAAGCTTCTTTCATACCTGCAGCGTTATCGTTTAAGGAAAAAGGTGCACGAATTTATAAATTATCCTGAGAAACAACAGATTTTAGAAAAGGCACTCTTCAGTTTCGCACAATGGTATCAACCCGAAAAATATGTGTCTTACTCGTATGTGAGTACGTCACTAGATAAGATTGCACAGCAGGTATTGGAGTGCCTTAAAAATAAATATTTTGCGCATCCAATATTCAAAATATCAATCGAGCAGTTTTCCGTTTGGAAATACAATAATATTGATGACAATCATTGGAATAGCATAGAAGGAAAACAGATTATAGAGAGTCTTTGTAAAGTTTTACATAATGAATTACATTTACATGAAAGTTTGTCTTCCGATTATTTCTGTTCGATATTTATAGAATACTTTTGTATAGATTGCGTAAGTTATAAGTTTTAATACATTATGAATACTTAATGGTGTCAGCACAGTTCTTTGCTTGTTACGTCTCAATATTAATATATTTTATTGTAATTCGTGACAGGTTTTAAAAGATAAAGTTGGTAATGCGATAATTCTGGCAACAATATATCATAGTGTGGCGAGAAGACTTGGTATACGCTGCGATATAATATTTCGTAAACGTACTAATGACTACTTCTTATGCTGGAGACCGAAATAGTATAAGTATAATTTTAATGCTAGCCTAAATTTTCATTCTTATATTTATATGTATACTTTTTTCTTACAGTCATACCACAAAACCCAAAGAAAAAGAATGTTTTTGTATTGACTTCATGCGTAATGGACAAATGTCGAGTAGAAATGACTGTCCTATAATTAATAGTGCAGAATATGGTATTGATGAGTATACGAAGGAAAGTCCTGTAGAGGTTAGCAGTTATTTATATTTTATAGCAGTAGTTAATGAACTTAATAGATAACAGAAAATCTGTTGGAGATGCTAGCTAGTATGTATTATGCTAGTATGGAGCATGTTTCATTATATGATAATATTATATATAATATATGATAATATAATAATCATATATATGATAATATAAATATCATATATATAATATATGATAATATTAATAACAGAAAAAAAATAGCAAAATAAATTTGCAATCTTAGCTTTGCTTATGTCATAATCTTTACTTCAAGGTGATGTCATATATGAATGCTAATTTGGATTCAGCAATTAAAAACAATCAAATTTCACAACAGTCGCATTTGGAATTACAGTGTCTAATAAAACCAGATACACGTGCAATTCATGAACTAGGTAACATATATATACGGCGGCGGATGGATTTAGCCAGTCTCATAGTTATATTGGAGAAGATTCAGGTATGTAAATAAATGTGTGTATAACATATACACACAAAGAGTTATATGTAAAAGGAAATAAATGTAGATAAACAATTTTTTTAATTCATAAAATTTTCTTATTTTTCGTAACATTTGTTTTCTTACACTATGTAGCAAGAAATTAATGTCAGAATGAATATTTGTTTAATGTTCATTTAATTTTTAAAAAATCCAAACATTTCTATTGCATAAACATGTTTCTATATAAGTGTACCTTTAAGCAAAAGATATTTTCAAATAAATTTCGCGCTTCTATATTTCTGCAGGATAATTGTAAGATTTCTGACCCTATAGAGGCAAGTTACGCCGAAAAGTTATTGAATAAATTTAGGAATCATGTAAATCCAGTTATGGTATGTAATTACCACAAGTTCTATATGAAATGTTCAATTTATGTAATAACAAAAATTAAAAATGGTGAAATAACAGAATTTATTATTTAATATATTTTAGTGAAATAAATGCATGTAAAACAGATAAAGCCAGTCTTTTTACTCAATAAATTATGATATTTTAAAAGCAAATTTTCCATGTAATCATGAAGAAAAATGTATGATAATTTCTGATATTAAGTATTAATATTATTTTGCAGCCATTTTGCGATCAAATAATACCAAAGCAAAGGACAACAAATATAAAATTTGCAGTTGGAATGATCGTAAGATTTAATAATAATTTTTTTATGAGCGAATATTTACTGAAGCTTATAGCTGTGATAATTGGATGGGACGAGAGACGTAAGTAATTTACTATACTAGGACATACATGCGCGCCTTTTTTTCTATTCTTTTGTATTCATTTAATTGTATCTGTTTAAACACTTGTATCACTTTAAACTTATCAGACAGTTGTTAAAATAAAGCTGTCAAAATACAAACTGTCATACGCAATCATCTCTATAACAACTGATCGATAACTGTCGCGATAACATCGAAAAGAGGCCTCAAAAGTAAATAATATGTCTTTTTTAAGGTAAAACATACAGTAATATCCGAGAGATTATCCCTCGCTTGTTTTTGAATGAAGCTTCTTTAAAACCACATTACAAAATCCTCTGTCACGATGGTACAAAGTATTACGTCTCCGAAAGTATGAACAGATTATTAGATATATCTTTATAACCCAGACAGCACACATGTCCAAGATACATCCAAAGGATATCCAGAGTCCTGTCGTCCCAAAAACGTCTTCGGGATATCCTTTGGACGTCTTTTGGATATGCTGTGCTATCTGGGAAATTATATTTTTATGTCTTATATTTTGCGAAGCATTATATTTCTTTGATTTTAGTGTATTTAACAATGTGTAATGAAGCATCATGGATTAATTACAAAGATATTGGTCGATATTTTTGTAAATTTGAACACTCTTATTATGTACCAAACAAAATGCTAGAAAAACATTATCCACATGATAAACTGAAACTAACTACAGGATCCCCTGATATAACTCATTGACGTTAGGAATGGCTAAAAGGATTTCATTTATTTTATGATTCATATTTGTTCATTACATATGATTTTTATATATACATATATACGAACGCATACATGCATACATATAATTATTATATACATATAATTATATATATATATATAATTATATATATATATATATAT